TAATACGTAGAATGAATCCAAAAGATGCAGATGAAAGCTGAATTTTTGGGGAATCTAGCAAGTGTCGATACATTACTGTGGTTTTAGCCGTTTGGCTGTAATTCGTGTTGAAAGTTTAAAAAATGCTCGAAAAAGGAGTGTTTTTACATTTCATTGATTTACTCGAAAACTATAATACATAGAATGAATCCAGTATATGCATATAAAAGCTGAATGTTTGGGGAATCTATCAAGTGTCGATATATTACTGTGGTTTTAGACGTTTGGCTGTAATTCGTGTTCAAAGTTTAAAAATTCTCGAAAAAGCAGTGTTTTTACATTTCATTGATTTAATCGAAAACCTCCTCTAATTACTAAATGAATCGTAGGTCGTAACTATAGAAACGTGAAGATGATTACGTCATGAGTATGTGAGAGGTCGAGTGCAAGGTTTAAAGGTCAGCTATGATGCGTATGTAAATAGAAGACGAATATCAATGACACTTTTTTTTCTGTTTGTTTACTTTTTGTCTTTCGAATTTCGTTAAAATTGGGTTAGAATTAACATCAAAATTGGGTGAATTGCGTTTATGAAAATGTCGAACAATCGGTGTGTTCATGAATTCATGAATTTTTGCGTTTACTAAAATTTTAAATTCTATTTTTTTATATTAGTATTATGGAAATTTATACATTTGCAAATTTAGCTAACGATAAGAATGTTGAATCACTTCTGTTAAGAGATAATGCAAAGTTTTACATAACTTCTGATAAACAGTTTTCAAAATTATGTAAGAGAAAAATTTACATTAACATTAGTCATCATTAATCAAATTCAATTAATTATATAAATATTTTACGTTTTGATTCATTAAACCAACATTTATCATTATGATGAATCACATAATAATGTCATATAATTAGTCAATTTTGTTTTGTAAAACTATCATTAATTATTAATTAACAATAATTAATAATAAAAAAAAATTCAATGATGTTTAACCTTTGACATTTAGATGAATCTTAACAGCGGAATGGTTATTAGCTGGAAGCTAAGGTAACATGTAATTATATCACTATGGAAACGCCACAGGCTCGTTTCTATAACAATCAAATCATGTTGATTGAATCGGTGATTACGTAATCAACAGCTCTGGTGTTGCTTTGATTCATTTTTTTTCTCGTTTTTCAATCATTTTTCAAACAAATAATATTATGCGATCTTGAACGTGAAAAATGTAAATATTGACTGACGCGGCCCGCGTGATATAATCGAAAATTCTTAAATAGATTCCGTGAAACGAAGGATGTGCGATTTACAAACAAAGGTGTTTCGTCGGTATATAAAGTGAAGCGAATACGTGTATGAGCAGTATCCATTTGCTGATAGAAACAACATGAAGTTCGTTTGCTCCTTGATCGTCGTGCTCGTCTTCGTGGCTGTGGGATCTGAGGCTCAGGAGAACTGCGCCTGCACGTTCGAACATAGACCTGTCTGCGGCTCAGACGGAATCACCTATCCGAACAAGTGCACTTTGGGATGCAGACAGAGGGAGGACAGATCCGTGAGGGAAGCGCATCAAGGTCCTTGCGGTGTCCAGAATGTCAGAGGAAGGAGGGATCTCTGTTCCTGTCCGGACAATCATTTCCCGGTTTGCGGATCGAACGGACAAACGTACGCGAACCATTGCGAACTGAAGTGCGAGACGGCCAAATACGCGGACTTGAAGATCGAATGCCACGGAAGATGTCCGTGCACTGCTTAAATTCAACTTCTTAAACCGAAGACGCGTGGAAAACTTTCTAGTTCGCAGAATATATTTTTTTGTTTGATATTTCTATAAACCTAATACAACGAGTTTAAAACAATGAGTTTCCTTTTAATACAAAAACACCTTTGTTCATGAACTGATTTGAATTTTTGCTCAACAATAATCATTGTTTGATAATCTTCATTTTAAATTTTTGATTGTTAAACTATTGAATCATGTAACTTAATTAAATTTGACTAAAAAAATGGCGGGACTTTCAAATAGTAACGTTTCTTTTATGACACTTTTATGCATCCCAATTATTTGGTTCAAAACAAAAAAATAAACAAAACAATTGTCAAAGCCAACCAATACTATTTAAAATCGATTGTCAAATTTATTATATGGCATAACCTCAAAAGAAAAAGTGACCACGTTTCTCCTGTTTTTCATTTTTATTGATTGCTTCATTTATAAACAATTGATTCAAACCTAAACAAAATAACAGTTAAATAGTATTTAATATTTTAAAACTTGAATTAATCGAAAAACATATCAACGCGTACCTAGAAAATCAATATGTTAATATGGTTGTTAAATTTCTACATCCAAAATCAATGATTACATGCGAAGTTTTCTCCGAATCAACTTCAGGCATGAGCGAAGAAAACATTAGCACCTTTAAAAGCAATAGTTTTATAGCAAATATTTCAATAATTAATGTTAATTTATAAAATTAGATACGTATTACAAACATGAATAGTTGTGTTACATATATGAAAATCTTCTGAATTGTAGTAAAACTGTATTAAGTTCTTGTAGATTTTTATTTAAAAACAATGTTGATAACAATGGGAATTAAATTTTCAAATTTCTACATCATTTTCTCATCCAAAATCAATGATTACGTGCAAAGTTTTCTCAGAATTAACTTCAGGCCTGAACGAAGAAAACATTAACACCTTTAAAAGCAATAGTTTTATAGCAAATATTTCAACAATTAATGTTAATTTAGAAAATTAGATACGTATTACAAACATGAATAGTTGTGTTACATATATGAAAATCTTCTGAATTGTAGTAAAAGTTTTTCAAGTTCTTATAGATTTTTATTTAAAAAACAATGTTGAAAACAATGGGAATTAAATTTTCAAATTTCTACATCATTTTCTCATCCAAAATCAATGATTACGTGCAAAGTTTTCTCAGAATTAACTTCAGGCCTGAACGAAGAAAACATTAGCACCTTTAAAAGCAATAGTTTTATAACAAATATTTCAATAAATAATGTTAATTTAGAAAAGTAGATACGTATTACAAACATGAATAGTTGTGCTACATATATGAAAATCTTATGATTTGTAGTAAAATTGTATCAAGTTCTTATAATTTTTTATTTAAAAACAATGTTGATAACAATGGGAATTAAATTTTCAAATTTCTATTCGCATTTTCCAAGCGCGACAACCTTCAAATCGGGATTATCGACAGCTCTGCACTCGACTTCGCACGGGTTGACGTAGGTTTTACCGTCGCTGGCGCAGACAGGCATCAAAGTTCTGTTGCAGAAGCAGACCGCTTCACTGCTTCCGTCGCAGCTTCCATCGCTGACCTTGCTCAATCCTGCGATGGTTTTCTGAGCGCACTCCAATACGCAAAGGTTAGCATAGCTACGACCATCGGATCCGCAGACGGTTTCATCAAAGTCTTTCGGATATTCGCATCCGCAGGGCATGTAACCAAAGGCAACAGCCAAAACGGCGAAAAACACTACCAAAGTTGCTTTCATTTTCTCGGTTATGATTGAGGATTGAATTCATGCTGTTTCTCGTGTCGCATTTATACTAGAAATTTATCTAAATCCTATAAAAATTATGCAAAATTTACAGCACTTTGTGTGTATTACGATGACGTTTGTAATCCTCAGTTATTTAAGCAAACAATTCAGATTTTTTTTTTCAATTGTTTCAAAACGATTACTTGAT